CTAGATCCCAAACACATAATCGAAGCTGGCGCCAAGGCAACCCATACCAGGATAACTTTATTTGCGCCTGGGCCTATCACCCCTCGACCGATTTCCACTAATTTTCATGATGATCCCGCTGAGGAAGCTCTTTGGCGGTCTGGCTTCTTTGGAAGACATACGCCTCAGCAGCTTATCTATACCTTGGTTTATCTTTTCGGAAAGTTGCTTGGCCTACGGTCAGGTTATCATCTACGTCAACTACGGTATGGTACTGATGGACAACTGCGTTTAGTTATTATTAAGAAGCAGCCACGTCTGAATGGATCGGTATCCAGTATATCTTCTTCCATTGTGTCTCTGGTTCCACCTGCCAATCTTGACATAGCTAGCATTCGTCTTGTTTACACACCAGATGTAGACAATCTGGTTGCAAATACTAATTCTAATGGAGCAACTAATAGTCACTTTGAATCAAATAAATTCCTTGCATCTAGTGAGGGGTCTGGGGAATTTGCAGATGGCTACGCTCTGGGAGATACTTCCTCTGTTAACAGTCTCTCTGGAGCTGGAGACAAAGGTGAAGCAGCTACAAGTGTTTTAGCTTCGACTCTTGTTAGTTCGGGGCTCCAAAAGTTACCATGGATACCTGGGGGATATTTATTGGAGCATTATGAAGCTTATAATCATGAGCGCTGTGTCGTCTGTCTTCATGCCTTTTATGCTTGCAAGCGACAAAAGTAAGTTGTCTTATTTTTACCCATTTTCAAAATTTATTTATGTCCCCAACTTAAGTCGGCATTGGATGATTCCTCCACGATGTTAATTAATATTGCAATATTATTTATAAAAATTGCAATTCTAAGATTTAGGGGGTTTGATTCATGTGCTAGGTGGAAACAGGAGATATTTTTCCTTATTTCAAGTCTTGAAACCCTACTTAGATGTCTTATTTTTGTAACTATCTTTTAAAGGCCTTATCTTGTATTTTAACAGCCTAATGGCCCTTCGAACTGATTGTTACTTTCTGGCGTGGCAAACTTCTACACCCTCGTTGCTAGGTCTTACTACGGCCTCGAAGACATCGACATTAGTGCCTGTATCTAATACTGTCTCCAGCACTCCTAATCATCCAACGATCCCGTCGGTCTGGTTTCGACACCGTCCTATTGGCCATAATTATCTTTCTACTATAATTCATACGATTGACGCCGCTTTACATACAGCTAATCTAGCCGGGACCTGCGGTCTTTCTTCCCGACCCTCACCAGTCCCCAACGTATCAATTAGAGCTAAAGCGCCTGTCGCATCCTTATTACTCGAATCATCTGCTGCGAGTGGAAAAAAGTATACCGATGAAAAATACTGTCAGGAAACTCTTAGTAGCAAAAGGCAATCCGATTCCGCCTTTACCTTGCCAACCCTTCAAAACCTTGAGCAAGAATCCAGGAGTGGGTATCCAAACCTGTTGCAGTTTTTTGGAGTTCGCGTTTTTATTGATGCCTTATGGGCTTTTCCCATCGCCCAACTATTATAGGATATTGATATTATAAGATTTGTTTACTTTTAAATGTATCTCCATGGGTGCCTCGACACTTAGTTTGTTCGAGTTTTTATTCGTTTTTTCTCATAATACCTAAATACTGTGGGTTTCTTTGAAATTATCTCTTTTTTTCATGCGTCGTTGCTACTACGTATTCATCTCGATTCTTTGGGATAATCACAAACATTGTGTATGCTTTTACTGGATCGTTTTTAATTGGATCAGTATTTTATGAAATGCGCTTTGGTATGGTGAAAACCTTTGCAAATGTTCTCCTTCCATGTGATAAGAAAATTTAATATAGGTTATTGTATATCCCATATTGCGGATAAAGGCATTCTCTTCCAGTAATTCTTTTTCATCGAGTGTGCTAGAGTTTATGTTATTATGTGACCATATCATATTTAAATTGCATACAAATGAGTATGCCTTCTATTCAGTCAGTTATTCAACCCAAGTTATAGCTGTAAAATTTAATTTTTTAATTTTTTACATTATTAAGCCCACCCTTCCTGTCTCGACTACTGGCCCGAACTTACCGAACGAGCACGGCGGTCCGTTTGGCAATGCGCTGATTGTAAAACATGCTCAGTTTGTTTTGATCATAATTCCACAGTAAGTTTCACTATTTGACTATCTAGAAGCACTCTGATCAAATGCTTCTGATATGTCTACGAAATCATCTGCAATTTAACATTATTAAATATTTCATAAATTTTGATATCGGTATTTCGTTACCTCTTGAGGCCTAATATCCGGAGGGCTTAGATTTGATGAATTATAGTGAACACTATTTTTGCCAGTGATCTTCATTTCACTCTATATTTAGAAACTTTCCTCTGAGGT